GGGGGGGTGTAAAATTTTTTCCCCATGAGGCCAGTTTAGAGAGTCTTAAAAGAAAAGGAGCTCTAGAATTATAAAGTTACTCTAAAATTATGCTGTGTACCTAACAACTGAACCTATCCTCATCAGTAAATGACTGGTTGGCTGATTTCTCAAGTGGCATTACCCTGCTTGAACCATTCTGCATTTTTCTCTCAGTTTCTGTGTTCTTATAACCTACTAAAGGCCTCTTTCACACTCACAGTAGAGTATGTGCTTAAGTAGGTGTGGTGCATCATCACAAGATCTGGGTTCTAATCCGTAGTGACCTTAGCAAGTCACTCACCTCTCTGAGTCTCAGTTTACTCATCTGTAAAATGGGGCAGTAATAAGACATTTGCTATCTACCTCACAAGATTTAGTCATGAGTATCAAGTTACACAGATAAAGGTGGAAAACATGTTTTGTGAACTTTAGGGCTCTCTACAAGTATCGTTTTTATGACAAACAGAATATTGACACTTGAATGATTTTTAGTCAAGGGAATTACTCTGTAAACATATTAATATTTTCTCCACAGTATAAATACAAGTACAATTATGAAAAGCAGAAGGGAAGAATGGTTGGTTTCCGCAGTCTTGAGGATGATCCCAAATTAGTTCATTCCATGCAAGTGGCTAAGATGCAATCTGATCGGGAGTACAAGAAAAACTATGAGAAGACAAAGACCAGCTACCATACCCCTGCCGACATGCTCAGTGTCACAGCCGCCAAGGATGCCCAAGCCAACATCACCAACACTAACTACAAACATCTGATCCACAAGTACATCCTCCTTCCAGATGCAATGAACATTGAGCTGAGCAGGAACATGGGACACATACAGAGCGATGTAAGTCTCTCATCTTTCTGGGTGATGGTCAGGCTCCTAGCATGGGAAGGGAGGTCACAGTCTTATGTGCCATGCTTTTGGTCTAAATTGATAAGGTAAAGTAGAATTTGCTTCTTCTCTGTATAGAACGAATATAAGCAGGACTACAATGAATGGTACAAAGGGCTTGGCTGGAGTCCGGCTGGTTCCCTGGAGGTTGAAAAGGCCAAGAAAGCAACTGAGTATGCGAGTGATCAGAAATACCGCCAGCACCCTAGCAACTTCCAGTTTAAGAAGCTGACTGATTCCATGGACATGGTGCTTGCCAAGCAGAATGCTCTTACCATGAACAAGGTAGAGAGAACACTTGCCCTTCCACACAGCTCCCAAGAGAGGAAAGGCTAGCAGGCCCGGGTTCTTCCTTGGGAAATTTAATTCAGGTTTACCACTCCTAGGCAGTGGTAAATGTTTCCAGAGCATTCTTCTATGCCATTTCCTTCTGCCACCTCTTATTTGTTCTTCCTTCACCCTTCAAGTTGAGTTAGAAATTACTTATATTTTTAATTGTTATGTCTTAAATACTTTTAATCCATTACAGAAGACACAAAATATTTTAAAGATTATTTTTTTGAAATCTGAGTTTGTTTTTAGTGTTTTTTTCTGAATCATGTACTACTTTTGTTACTATTTACTGCTTCAAAATGAATGCATTCAAGTACTCTGCATCTATATTTTCTTTCCTATTTGTCTTAAACAGTTGTTCAAATTTCAAATGTCTTTTTTCCCCATTTCCTAGCATTTATACACCATTGATTGGAATAAAGATAAGACCAAGGTTCATGTGATGCCTGATACACCAGATATTTTACAAGCCAAGCAGAATCAAACACTATATAGTCAGGTAAAGTTGCATAAAATTTGCTTTTAAGTTTAGTCTTGAAAGATATTAAACTTATAGAATGGTATAATAAATAACTAATGTAAATGCTGAAGCAATGGAAGTGAATGACTCAAACAGGTTAGTCTAGGGATGCCCCAAAATGTAGTGGTAAAGCAACGGCTTCAACTACAACTGTACGCTCCAGAATTTGCTTTTAAGTTTAGTCTTGAAAGATATTAAACTTATAGAATGGTATAATAAATAACTGATGTAAATGCTGAAGCAATGGAAGTGAATGACTCAAACAGGTTAGTCTAGGGATGTCCCAAAATGTAGTGGTAAAGCAACGGCTTCAACTACAACTGTACGCTCCAGCAGAACTGCATCTGTTTTGTTTATCTCTGTGCTCATTGTGCCTGGTACAAAGTAAGAAATCATTAAATAATTGTTGAAAGAAAAAATTGCATAAAACAAAAAGAATTGCTTCAGACTGGTATGAGTTTTTAATTTTCCATTTATAAGTTATATGAGATTGGGCAAATCACCTACCTGTCAAAACCTCAGTTTCCTCATTTCTAAAATTTGGGCCATATGATATTGAATTGCCTTTGATGTTGAATTGCCATGAAGACCAATTCCATGTAAGGCTCTCAGCACAGTGCCTGGCATGTAGAAAGTACTGGATGACTCAGCTATTCTTACTATTACCCAGTTTTAACACACGTAGATTCATTCAATGAATTTGACTCAGAAAGGTTAATTCACTTACTGCAATTTACAAAAGGCATTTTATCATCTATTACTTTTATTAGATAATTAAAATTCTGTGACCTGATTTTTTGTTACCAATTATGTTAATATCTGTGTTCAAAATAGTGAGACCAGACTGTACTTAACAGCAGAGAGAAAGGTATCTGATATATCTGATATGATCATATTGATTCTAAACAGTAAAGGTCATGCTCAGATATACCACCAGGGAATCTCAGAGACAGAAAAAATGAAGCCAGATCATGTGACATTATCAGTGCTTTTTCTACTCCAATAAACACCCTGTTTTGGCTTTATGCATATCTTTAAAGATAAGGTAGATGATGTTAGGATCTCATATTCATTCTCAAGATAATCTTTTACTTAATAATTTGTTGGGATTTTTAATATAGAGAGAGCAATGCTAAAGGATTTCTTTAATTTTCAGAAATTCTATAAACTTGGTTGGGAAGAAGCTTTGAAGAAAGGCTATGATCTCCCAGTTGATGCAATTTCTATACAACAGGCCAAAGCCTCAAGAGAGATTGCCAGTGATGTAAGTACTAGTCTGACTTCCATAAGGATAAATTTTTATCTGAACCAGGTAAATTAATGTGGGTAACTATCTTTATAGATAAGCTTTACCTTTCAAAAGGTAATGTTGTACCCTTTATCCTCTCCTACTCTTCGTTTACCCAGAACTTACTCTTCTTTCTTATTGTTCAAATGGTTGAAAGGGGCTTTCTGAATAAAGGTTGGACCAGAGGGACCTATCAGATCCATTACACTAAGGTGCTCTGGTTTGAGATATTACAAACAAACTAGAGATTTCAGTTTTTCCCTGCTTTGCCTGAAAGCTTTCTTATTGTTCAAATGGTTGAAAGGGGCTTTCTGAATAAAGGTTGGACCAGAGGGACCTCTCAGATCCATTACACTAAGGTGCTCTGGTTTGAGATATTACAAACAAACTAGAGATTTCAGTTTTTCCCTGCTTTGCCTGAAAGTAATTTTCCTGTTTTCTACTTGTCTATTTTAGACAAATTCAAAGGGCTCGATAATAAATCAACCTCAACAACCTTAGGTTGATAGGTTTTACATGCACATACTTAAAAATTAGCTGTCACTTATTTTTATTTAGCCCTTCCTTACACTCACATAATTATAATAAATCAGCTTGAGGCATAGAAAATCCTGGAAGGCTCAGGAATTTAGGTTTAAAATCCAGAGGGTTTAAGTCCACTTTCTGCTGAGTATCTGGTCCAAAGTTCATAGAACAAGGATACTCGCTTTCCAAAAGATAGCTTCTAGTTATGATCAGAAAGGATAGTAAATCTGGGGAACAAACTAGATGTAGTCCCTATTGGTTGATTAAATCTTTACAAATATTTTACTTAACTTTCTGCATATAGACGAACATGTAATTTTGCTAATCCCCCAAATTAGCTACCAAAAAATCCAGAGAATCTTGGTTATAGAGAATCAATTACCAGAATTTCACAGGGAAGCACAACCTCTTAATCAAAATCTTTAAAACAAAACAAAGATTTGGTTCAAAATTCAGGTTGTAGTACGAAGTGAAGAAAAAAAAGAATAAAGACAGAATCTAAATAAATAAATTCTAAGAGTATAAGGGAAGATTCTATCAAATTCAATTCATTTGTGGCACTCCAGAAATGCTAGAAAATTAATTAGATGATATATTATTACTCACTTTCCAGCTTAGAGGTCAATACTTCATTAAAATGAATTGATGTGATATTGAACTTAAAGCAATAATGATGCTTGAATGTTCCCCAGAGAGTAAACTCTGTTTTCGTTTAATGTCATATGGTAAAGATATTTAAGAATTGTAGAAATAGCATCAATAATTTCCTAACAGCCCAACACTTGATAGTACCTAGTTTCTTTTCATGTGAACCCATTAGTTAGAACCTTTAGAAATCTTACTCTAAAATTAAATTAAATGTAAGTGGACTTTCCCATCATTGTAGAGATTGTATCTCTTCTCAGTTTCAAATGGTTCTTGTTTCTATAAAATTTCAGAAAATTAGAGCTATATTTTATGAGTACTTAATTTAGTAAATTAGAATCATAGACTTTAGAGTTAGAAGATAACATAAAGTTTATTTAATCCAGTCTCCTGCTCGACTTCCTACCTTCTATCTCCAACATTCTGCGGATACTTACACATGTAAGAATTTTGGTGTCCTTCAGGGCAGTTCATTTCCTTGCTGGAGCATCTCCAATTGTCATTACATACTTCTTTATTTCAATCTGATTATTTTACCATCCAGCTCTAGGTTTCTGTTCTAGAACACCACAAAGTAGCTTATTTACACTTTATCACTTCATATCTCTTCAAACATTTCAAGTTTCTTATTTGTTCTCCTCTGAATTTAGTTTCATAAATTCTTCAGTCTTCTGATCATTCTGTTGTGATTTATCCTGTTTTTTCAAAACTCCTCCCAGAACAGAGTGCCTTGAAATTTAATGTTT